TAAGTTTTTGAGATGGAGTCTCACTGTATTGTCTAGGCTGGTCTTAAACTCCTGGCCTCAAGTGATCCTCGCACCTTGGCCTCCCAAAGTGCTGAGATTGCAGGTGTGAGCCACCGTGTTCGGCCATCAGTTAGTTTTCTAATTAAAAAAAAAAAAAAAAAAAAAATCCTCATCAGCAGCAACAGATTTCCTTGTAGTTTACTTTGCTCTATCATTCAAGGCTGTTATTAAAAAAGAGAAAGAGGGAGGTTTATCCATATGTTTTATGATAATGGATGTTAGAGCAACTGGTGTGCACTAGTCTTTTTTTTTTAGATGGGGTCTCACCCTGTCACTCAGGCTGGAGTGCAGTGCCACGATCTCGGTTCACTGCAACCTCCGCCTCCCAGGTTCAAGCGATTCTCCTGTCTCAGCCTCATGAATAGCTGGGATTACAGATGTGTGCCACCACAACTGGCTTATTTTTGTATTTTTACTAGAGACGGAATTTCGCCATGTTGGCCAGGCTGGTCTCAAACTCCTGACCTCAAATGATCCACCCATCTCGGCCTCCCAAAGTGCTGGGATTGCAGGCATGAGCCACCACACCCAGCCGTGCACTCCTTATTAATTGACTTTATTTTCATGATAGGGCTGTACCCCCTTTTCCTTTAGATATCACAATGGTAAGGATTTAGCATTTGATGAGTCAGTGACTAGTTATGCTTTGTAAAAGCTTTGTCTTTAGAATTCTTATGTAAACAAAGATTACATAAAATAATGCTCCTCTTTCTTCTTTCTCCGAAGGGTCACATGGATGAAGATGTTCAGGAGGCTCTGCTCCAGATCATACAAATGCGGCAGGGGCTTGTGTGCTAGCAGTTAGCACTGACGGCCAGTATCTGTTTTATCTTGCTGGTGCTGAACATTCTTTGTGCAACTCCATGGTCTTTCTGGGCCTTACTGTGCTGGTATAATTAAAATAAAATATATTTTGTTCCATTGGTAGGTTTTTTTAAAAAATTAGATGAATATATTAGTCTTTTTCAATATCAGTTTGAATCTTATTTTCTGTATGTGTTAATTTTACAAATAGGCAAACAACATAACACTTCGCCCTGGATTGACTACATATTTTTAAACCTTCGAGTCCCTAATAAAACATGAGCCATCTGTGTGAGTCCATACGAAGCAAGGTTAGGCTGAAATAATTTCTTAAAGATGTCTTTCAGAGAAATTAATTTGGTTGGTGGCCACTTTTAGGTGGATCAAAAAACCTTTCAGATCCTCAGAACCTTGAGACATACAGTTGCGAGGAATGTGTTATAACTTGGCTGGCCAAGTTACATATTACAGTATCTTTATTGAGGTAACTTCATTAGTGTCTTTGGCCTTTTTTGTAGTTATAGGTATTTTTTCTTTTTACACTAATAACTTTTATGCCTTTTAAAATAAATTAATTTTCATAAATGGTTTGTGGTGCTAAATTACAGTTAGATTAAGAACAGGCAGGGGTGGAATATATCAGGAATTTATAATAAAATTACCTCAATCTCTACAACAGTATCTTAATTTTTACTTGTGGTGACTATTCTTGCCACAGTATTAGTGAATAGTGATAAATGATATACTAGATTTTTCAAAGTGTCAAAACCTTTAGACTTTTTTTTAGCAATTAGTTTGACATTTGCTACTATAGTAACCAAGCACTCATTATATATGCATCCTCCAAATGTTTCATGCTTATTTATAGGAAAGTTATACTAATGAGATTAATAATGTGAAATACAGTTTTCCTGCAAAATTAGCATTAGAGAATTGATTTTAGATAACAGATTTTCGAAGTTTTAGAGACAAGTGCAGTAATACAGTAAACGGAAAGAGTATATAGATAGCAATAAAATAACATAAGTGGACATGTTTATAGTAAATACTCTGAAGTAACCAACCGTTTTTATTTACTGCGTCTCATTAGGGAAAGTTTATATGCCTTGTTATTTTTTATTAACATTTTATTTACCATTCGGAGTGAAAATTACTAATTTGAGTATTAACAAATAACTGAATAAATGGATCATTGCAGTTAGGTTTTCTCAAATTGCAAAATTTGCCTTAGCAATAATCTTTGAACATCCTGAACCAGATTTTGTAATCCTATTTTTTTTAATAGGGTAAAAGTACCATCAAAATGACTTCTCATACCAAAGAATAAGTCATCATATTTTTTCAGTGTTGAAACAACATTGAAAGTCAGAATGGGATTTATTTTTAATTCTTTATATGGTTTACATAAGCAATATCTGTTTCTTTAATTATTATGTTTAATGTTGTCCTTCAGCATGAGTTCTGTTTCACAAGTTTTGGGCCACCTATTTCAATAAAAAAAAAAAATTTAAAAAGTTGCCAGGGGTAGTGGCTTATGCCTGTAGAATCCTTTGGGAGGCCAAGGCAAGTAGATCACCTGAGGTCAGGAGTTCAGACCACCTGACCAATATGGTGAAACCCCGTCTCTATTAAAACTACAAAAATTAACTCGGCATGGTGGCGGACGCCTGTATTCCCAGGTACTTGGGAGGCTGAGACGGGAGAATCGCTTGAACGTGGGAGGCGGAGGTTGCGGTGAGCCAAGATCACGCCACTGCACTCCAGCTTGAGCCACAGCGAGACTCCATCTCAAAATAAAATAAAATAAATAAAATAAAAGCTCTACAATAGAGCAAAGTTTTAAACTGAATATTTATGTTAAGTGTTTTATTTTCCACATTAGAGATGGGAAGGGAACATTATGTGTATTTTATTTTGTTTTCAACCATTAATAAAGTTTTCTCTAGAATATTGTTTTGAACATCCTTGTAAAAAGATTTGCAAGTTAAACTAGTTTATTTACTGTCTGTGAGGGCATTGGGAGTGGGAAACGATGGGCTCCAGAGTACAAATGAGAATACCCATTTTCCTTCAGCGCTCTGAAGTAAAATATCAAGTACCTCCTTCAAGTAATCTTGTCTCATTCACTCACCTTTTGATATTGAAAGTAGAAATTGCATTTACAACACTGAAAACTAAAGCTTTTTTAATTAGTAAACAAGTGGAACATAGGTAATGGACAATGCTGGCCACTGCCATTCCGTGTTCAGAAAGACTATGAGACCTGAACATTTGGCCAAGAGGAAAGAAGAGTGATGTTGTCTAAGATGTCATGAGTGCTCTCTCAGAGAATCACTCAATTCCTATTGGAGTGCAATCCTTACTTGAAAGCTTTATTACTCTTGTTCTGTGTAGATTTTTTTTTTGTCACTTCCCCATCAGAAAAGCATATTCTTTTTGATAGAGGGTCAGTGTTATAAATAATTGTCTATTGAAATAAAATCAAATATTCATGCATTGAACATCTTAAATTTTAATATTATGGTGACTATAATCACTTAACTGTATCAGCAGTGTTCCAGAATTCCAGATGAATTTAGCTCGGTCTTTTTTATGGTTTTTTAGTTGAACCTTTTCTCTTGACCCCAACCAAATTTTATAGTTTACAATTTTCTACTCTTCTATAAATGCATTGGCTCATTGCTGCTTTAAAAATCTTGCAGCTTCAGAACATGAGCATTTTTTTTCTCCAGTGTTACCAGCTTTCCTCTGACTAGCACCTAAAAACTGTTCTCACACATGTGCTTGTTACCCTATCTGAATGTTCATGTCTTTGACCGACTTGTTTCAAAGTAAAAAAGGGAAGAGTTTCAAGTTAATTTTTGGTGTTCATGGTGACTAGATACGTCAGTGCCTGCTTGCAGGAGTGCCGGACCTTAGCAGTGGTTACAAGCTTCTTTGGACATCTGCTTCACCATGATAGAAGACAGTTACTTCTTATTGCCTCTGTTTTCCTCATCACTGGATTCTGCAACCTTGTGATCTTTTCTCTTCTTGTTGGTTCTGTGCACCAAAGTAATGGTAGCACCTCTGGCACCAAAATACGGGTTGAAAGAGAATGCCTGTGATGAACGTGGAAGATGTGGCTGACCTAGATCTTACCCCTGGCCCATAAGTTTTATGAATAAGTTCAGAGGGAGGATAAAAAGCACTAGATGAGTAAAGGCAGAATTTGCACCATAAAATAGATTGTGCACAAAATACAAAATGAAAATTAGTATAGACATTTCAACTGTCATTTCATTCAGTGTTGTTCCCAGCTAAACTGGAAACTGAACCTGAGACTGTTGCTGGAAATTCAGTTCTTCCCCATGTTTTGGTCTTAGCTATTTGAAACAGGACTATTTAGACCAGCCTCTCCAGGTAAATATTAACCTGCTTCTTAGCATAGTTTCTGATTATTAATATATTGACCTTTGGGCTCAAGTGAGTAATGAATGTACAGATTTTTTTTTTTTTTTTTAAAGATCAAGCTATATCAGCAGTGGCATTCCAACAGACTCCCTGGGCAGTGAGGGTGCTTGTGTTCAGCATAATTGGGCATGTGACATCACTTATATATTAGAGGCATTTTCATTATTTATGCCTGCATGAACAAACATCGGTGATGAATGAATTCAACCAAAAAGAGAAGGTTACAAAAATGTCATATGTAAATGAAAAAGAGCAAGACTTGTGAGGGTTGCTTCTCCAGTTCATATATATATATAATTCAGTCTAATTTATATGTATATATATTCCATTCAGTTAAAATAATGGAAGAGACATCAATAAAAACAATGCCCGTTATAATTGATATTTGGCATCAAATTATACTTAATACGCCTGATTTTTTTTTTTCCCACTCTTGTTGCATAGGCTAAAGTGGTTCAGGCTCATCTCACTGCAATTTCCGCCTCCAGGGTTCAAGTGATTCCCCTGCCTCAGCCTCCCAAGTAGCTGGGATTACAGGCATGCACCACCATGCCTGGCTAATTTTGTATTTTTAGTAGACACGGGGATTTCACTATGTTGGTCAGGCTGGTCTCGAACTCCTGACCTCAGATGATCCACCCACCTCAGCCTCCCAAAGTGCTGGGATTACAGGCATGAGTCACCACGCCTGGCCTGACTTTTATATTTTAAGCAAGTTTTCAGTTTTTTTCAAGATAGCAGTCATGGGAATATTCTGAATTCTGGAAAGAGTTTAGAGAGGTTATTGCCTTCTTAATAATTTAGAGCGTCTATTGCTCTGCCAAGTCGGAAGATTAACATTTAATAGAAAAAAATTATATATCTATAATTCAGTCACAGCTATTAGATCAGATGGATTTTACATTAAGTGAAAAAGATGTTGAGCATTTAAGGACCATTAAACTACAGGACTCTTTTATTGGGTTTTAAGGCCCCCAAGCCAGGGTCCTGCTGCGAAGAGTATTTATTTTACATATACAGAACCCATTAAGGATGGGAAAGGGGCACACATTTTAAAAGAAAATAGGCCATGAAAAAGTGTGATTTTCTACATTGTGAACAGCTACCAAACAGATTCAGTCTTATAATAATTAGTTTTATGCATCATTAAGTAGCTTGCTTACCGGCTAGAAGAATATGGTGAAGCCCATTTTAAAAGTGGTACCTGCAGGAAATCCAAGTAGCTACATGTCCTTTGTTGATATTTCACTTAGAGAAACTGCGTTTCTAGTAGTTTCCAGGATTCTTAAGGTTGCGATGTATTGTCAGGAATTTAAGTTTGGAAATGCCTTCTTCAGTGGTCCTTAAGGACCATGAAAACAAAGACCCAGAGAGGAGTTCTAGTAAGTGTTTACTTTTTCTAGCAATGCTCAAATTATCAATGAGAGAGTGGAATTTGACCCTTGAGAAGAATCACTTGCCTATTGGAAGAAAGTCTGCACCATTCTCTTTATTAAGTGCTTATCACAATCCCATTGTTGGAATTAATACCTTAATATAAGTTTTTCTTACTATTTACACCATGCCTCCTGCCCCATTCCTACTTCCAAAAATGGAAGAGTTTTAGAAGTTTAAAAGCAAATAGACTCAGGGAGGATGTGAGAATGGAGTTAATATAATTTGTAACTTTTTCCCCCCTACAATGTCCAAACAAATTTGGTGATTTTCTTTCTTGCTATTCTAGGCTTTTTTAAATTGCCTCTGACTAAAGTGGCACCTTATGGGCTGCTTCAGAAATTTTCTTCAGGATTTAAAAATGAAGCCGATTCATATTCAGAGTCTTCCTGCTGAAAATCTGTTAAGCCAAAATAAAAATGACTGCTACTTAAATTTTTTTCCCTCTTTGTTGTTGCTGCAAACATTGTCTCACTTACAGGAGTTGCAGGATCTCATTTATGCAGTTAAAACTCACTCTGCTTTGTACAAATGGAGAGAGATGAACCATCCCAGGACTAGCAATACAAGTCTTAAGGATTAAAGTGCATCTGCCTCAATCAAATACATGCGAGCTGCACTCCTGAGTGTGGAGGGTTTTTTTTTTTTTTTAAGTGAATTGTTCCAGTTGGCCTTAATCCCTAAGCAATATAGCTCCTTTAAAACCATCTTTATTCATTCACACCAATTGACACTTAAAATCCCCCAGCCACTGTTCATCTAAGTCTAAATATAGCTGTTAGAGTCAAATGTGTTTAAGAGGATTTGCAATCTGATTATCCAAAATACTATTTATTGTCAATGTTTTTGGTGTGCCATGGCCAATCTTATTATTATAATGTACATAGCCATTTAACGGCAGCAGAGCCTAAAATATATCACAGCAATTGGGATAACCTGAAGGAAGGCTTTTCTCCAGCTCCGCGCTGTCATTCTGGCACAGCTTGTTGTGTGGTTACGAACATCAGAAAGAATTCCTTAATAAGCTCTTGCTCTCCTTCCAGACCCTTTTGGGCAAGCCCTCCATGTTCTCTAAGTAGAGAGCAGTTACCAGGACAACAGAGAATTTGAGGAAGATTTAATTGTGATTTGATGTCTAACCAGAATAAAGAGCTAGTGCCTTGAATTTATATTCTAGGTTTCCAAGCAAATGTCAATATGCATATTTATTATTTTTGCCCTTCCTCATTATAAAAAGGATTTTAAGATGGCTCACATTTTTTTTTTTTGTTAATATGGGAGAGGAGAATGGGGATGATAAATACTAAAAGGATAGGAAAAACAAGCAACAACTTGTTGTGCAGGAAACATGCCAGTTAACAATATAATACCCTGCTTTTCTGGGGCTGACCTCAGTTTGACTCTGAACTTCCTAGTGGCCAATGTAGTGATGAAAACATCACATATGTGAGACATGGTGTCAGACACAGCACAGGTATTCCTGGTTCTGAAACTGGCCTGGTGTTCCCCGTGGGTCCAGCACATCAGTTGGTATACATCTCAAGCTGGAGTGCGCAGTGCCTCAGGGCACATGCCCTGGGATAAAAATGGCACATCTTCCTAAAGTGCTTCCATCGGACTTAATGGTAAGAAAGCTATTTTTAGTAACATTTTTATTTTGGAGTAATTTGTAGTCCATGAGATGACTGAACCAGGGTAATAGCAGTCCATATTTTGGGTCCGTAAGGAAAAATCTGTTTTTGTTGTTTTTTTTCTTGCCTTATTCTTGGGCCACAGATGTTTCAAACAAATTTCTTAAGTAGATACCTGTGTCTGGTTCTTTTTGGTTGGTTCGTTGGTTTTTTGCCTGCCTTTTACTTATTTTTCATTATCTGTGTCACTCCCTTCTAGCCTCCTATGCACATGACAAACATTCTTTGCCTGGCCAAACTTTAGTCAGGCTATTCAACCTTCTTCTAGGCCCATCTGTGCACTTCCTTGTACAACCCAGTTTTAGCAAAGAACCCCACCAGGTCAGTTTAGCAAGAGCCCTCACCCTTGATAGCTGGTCACTCTTGACATCTGATCCGGTGCCTCATACTCCACCTTCCACAGGTGATGTCTCATCACCCAGATCTGTCTTCAGCAAGAATCCTGTGGGGTAGTTTAGCCTTACTCCTGATGTTGTCTTGTAGAAATTTCCCATCCAGTGACCACCACTCCAACCCTGCTTCTTGGCTATAAATTTCCACTTACGCTTGCTGTATTCAGAGTCAATCCCAGTCTCTCTGCCCTTTGCAAACTCTGTTGCAGTGGTCCCTATCCTAACACGATAGTCCTGAATAACACCTTCCTTACTGTGCTTTCACAAGTGTCACTGAATAATTTTTTCGTTAACATGCTCACCATTCCGTAAGTCCCCCATTTTTGCATCCTCTTACCTAGGCCCTAAGTGCATGTGCTCCTGTTTTCTTTCCTCTCCCTCACTTCATTCAAAGATAGGAATTGGTATAGCTTTGAGGCAGGAATTAAAAAGCCATGTGACTAAATTCATACTGGCCGTAAATTATTGATAACAACCATTGTAAACTAATTTTTGAAAAGCATGTTTAACCCGCTAATAATGTATTAGTTGGCAGAGAATCTTATGAAAAACAATAAAATGAAGGGAAATGATTCATATTTTAGGGGGAGAGGAAGATGATTTTCAAGAAGTAGAGGCATCATCTCTGCCTGTATTATGCCCAACCCCTTCACAATTCTCCCTGAACTGTTACTGCTTTCCTTAGAGTGTTCCATTTCTCTGTATTTTTATAAATATCTTTTTTAAAAGTGTAGTGTGTAGTGGACATTTACTGTTCTCTTGACCACCCAGCATACAAACCACCTTTCTAGCTCTCGGGAATTCTCTGCCTTATGAGTCATGATAAGATGTGGAGACATCTGCTCACTATAGAGGCTGAAAATGCCAAACAATTGCTTTTCCTTGACAGAGGTGGTGTTGGGGTGCAGGCACATGACCCAGGCCAGCACATTCTGCCAAATGTGCCCTCAGCTTTGACTAGGGGACTAAGTAACAGTAAGAGGCAGGGGTGATATTTGTCTTTCTGGCAGCAAGGACAGTTGGGGTTACTGCACAATCAGGTTCCTGGTGCAGAGATGGAGGTGGCCAAAAGATGAGCATCTCATGCTTGGTGGAACAGCTGTTTTCTCACCAGACAGGCTTTGGAGTATAATTTGGAAGCTTGTTTCTGCCTGCTCAGGCCTAAGCCGGGTTTTTTACCTTCCCTATAGATAGCCATTACATTTTAAATAAATCCCTGTCTGCTTAAAACAGCCAGATTGATTTCTATTGCTTACAGTTAAGAACCTGGGCTGATAATTTTTTCTCCTTATTTCCAAAACGTAGTCAATTTAGAAAATTTCAGAAAATATAGATAGGAAAAAGGCAAAAATAATTCACTCCAAGCCTACAGATAAATCACTCTTAGTGCTTTGATGTATCTTTTCCAATACGTTGTATGCATCTATTCCAAGGAAGACTGTTCTGAGGAAGAATAATGGGGCATTGGCTGGGCACGGTGGCTCACACCTGTAATCCCAGCACTTTGGGAGGCCGAGGTGGGTGGATCACCTGAGGTCAGGAGTTCAAGACCAGCCTGGCCAACATGGTGAAACCTTGTCTCTACTAAAAATACAAAAATTAGCCAGGTATGGTGGCACACACCTCAGCTACTTGAGAGGCTGAGGCAGGAGAATCGCTTGAACCTGGGAGGTGGAGGTTGCAGTGAGCTGAGGTTGCACCACTGTGCTTCCAGCCTGGGTGACAGAGTGAGACTCCGTCTCAAAAAACAACAATAATAATAATGGAGCAGAATTTTGGGGCCACTTCCATCTTTGTCCAGGGAATCCAATAAATAGGCTTCCAATCCTTGTTTTAAGAGTCTGGGCTTAAGAGTGCTTAATTGAATTGGACTATGTGGGCAAGAGGGGAAGAATGATGGCTTTTAACATTTGTAGCTTATTTAAGAATCAGCTATAAAACAATGCTAACTCTTTGTCATATAGATTGCAATTTTTCCCGATTTTTTTCACTTGTCATTTAACTGTGTTTCTCTCATTCAGAAATTTTAAATTTGTATACAGTAAAATTTGTCAGTCTTTATGGTTTCCGGCATTAGTGTTACACCTTAAACATTCTTTCCCAACATATTTTATCTAGTGCTTGTATGATATTGTTTATATTTAAACAAATAATCCATTCGGAGTTTGTTTTAATGCTATCATGTGAGGTATAGATTCAGTTTAATTATTGTCCAAATTGCTATACAGTTTGTTTCAGTTATCTTTTTTTTTAAATTCAGTGCTGTCTGTCTTCTTCACTGATTTGTGATGCCACCTTGAGCACATATCAAATTTCTATATATATCTGGGGCTATTTTTTGACTCTTCATTCTGTTCCATTAGTCTATCTATCTTTTACCTCTATTCCAAAATCTATACTCTCACAAGTTCCAAATATTTCTTCAATTGCTTTTGAGAAAACAAAAGGCAATCTTGGATAAATAGGCAGGAATTTGGGAAGCCTGCCAGTTGGAGATTGCCATGTGGGCAGAGAATAAAATGTCCTGGTTAACACAGAATTCTGTTAAATAAGAAACTGTATTGAAAAAATGTACTTTGCCTTTGGGAATTCACAAGGACTGTCAAGACCTTATAGTATCTCAGGATCATCAACAACATCACAACACTGATTATCATTATGCAATGGATGTGCTGATGTGCTCATGAACAGAGCCCGCACAGGATATTGGATAAAATAGAGTTGACTGTGTTTTTCTTCTTGGATGCCGGGAGGGAAGTGAGTGTCAGAGCTTTTGGAGACAGACGACAGGCCTATCCATTTGTTATATGGATTACCACATCCACACCAAGCTGATGAATGAAATTTGTACATTAGAACTGTTACAGAATGGTAACTAAGACAATGATAACAGTTGGTCAGTAATTGACAGAGCCATCTCCCAGAGGAGCAAACACATTCTTTCTATCCTAGTGGGCTCCAAATGGCTTCCTGGCAGGGGAGCCAAGTGGACCCACTGAAGTAGGATTTCTACAGCACACCACAGAACACCACTGCTTATGCTCAGGTCTTAGAAGAATCATTTGAGAGTCTCCCATATTGGCAGGATTAGTTGCACTGGAGGAAAGCCAGTGGAAACCCATATATGGACTGATAAATGAGGTAGCCAGCCATTCATACTGTGGTGCTTCCCCCACTGGTTCCCAGCAAGGACCTTCTATCCCAGCCAAGCTGGGACAATATCCCAGCATCATTGTCCTCATAGTACTGGGCTCTCCTGCCTCCTTGCTTTGCCCATCTTATTCACACCACTTGAAATAATCTCTTGCTCCATTTATTGCTATTATAATTCACCTAATTCTTCAAGGGACAAGCCAAATCCTCCTTCCATTAAGCCTTTCAGAAATTCCCTTGTAAAAAGCTTTTTCTTTCATACTGAACTCAGTGAAGTTCATGAAACGTTTCTTGAGCACTTGCAATATATCAGAAAGGCACCGTCTTAGTTGTCGGGGAGTATATTCATTTCCTATGGGCACTTTAAACAAATTTCCATAACTTTAGTGGCCTAAAATGAAAGAAATTTAATACCTCGCAGTTCTGGGGGTCCAAAAATCAGAAATCAGTTTCACTGTGTCAAAGTGTCAGCAGGATTGCACTTCCTCTGGAGGCTCTGGGAAAGACCCGTTCCTTGCCTCTCAGCTTCTGGTAGCGTCTGGCATTCCTTGGCTTGTGCATGTGTCACTCCAACTTCTGTCTCTGTGGTCACGTTGCCTCATTGCCTTCTCCTCTCTTGTCTGTAGTCACATCCCACTCTGTCTCCCTCTTATATGAACACGTGGTTGCATTTAGGAGAGTCCACTTGGATAATCCAGGATAATCACTCCATCTCAAGACCCTTAATCACACTTGCAAAAAGTACTTTTTTGCCATACGTGGTGACATTCAGAAGTTCTAGGAATTAAGGCATGGGTAACATCTTTGGGAAGCCATTATTGAATCTGGCACAGAGAATAAAGATACAGTTATCTGTCCTATCATCTGTGAAGTTTTTGACACGTAAGTTACTAAACCAAATTATGTGCTACAGTGAAGTAAGAGTGGTCTTAGAACATTTTCAATCTCTCCAGTGGTGGCTTTCCCAGCCAAGTCTTCCGCTTGAATAAGTGGATATGTTAATAAAATGGTGAATGAAAATGATCTAGAGAAAAAAAGATGAGTGAAAAAATAAATACTTCAAAAATATATTTACCTTCACATACTATAGGAACTCATTTATATGCATTCTCAAAATGACAAAATTATGGCAATGGAGAACCGATTGTTGGGTGCCAGGTGATGTGGTTTGGGTCTGTGTCCCCACCCAAATCTCATCTCAAATTGCAATCCCAATGTGTGGAGGGAGGGAAGTGATTGAATTATGGGGGCAGTTTCTCCATGTTGTTCTCATGATAGTGAGTGAGTGCTCATGAGATCTGATGGTTTTATAAGGCAGTTTTCCTTGCTCTTGCACACTCTCTCTTACCTGTTGCCACATAAGACATGTCTGCTTTTCCTTCCGCCATG